ATTATTCCGAGCTCAGACAGGATTAATCAAACGAGAGAACGCGTTCTGGTACAAATTGCATTTGTGTTCCCTGTTGTTTTTTGTGTTTTACTTTCTTCTGTTACAGAAAGAGGTCCTCTGTAACCTTATAGTAAACTTTTCTAAATCGCGTCTTTGTCTCTCGTAGAACTTAATGATCCTTTTTCACAATGGTGTGTCTCTTGAAGAGGCACGCTTCTGTGTTAGATAGTTACCAAACTTAAAACAAGTTATTTTATGGCAATTTAATTTTGTTTTGTGTAACTTGCGATTCTACTTAGCTTATAATGTTTAAGTAGGCCTATTTGGTTCTATAAATTCCAACTCAAGAAAAGCTAGAATGTTTTATTGTATTGTATCGTACAGTCAAATATGAAACATCATCATGTGAAAAATAGAACTTACTTCCATAATTTTTCAGTTCGCTTGATTAAACCTAACATTCAGGATAGGAGCCAAACATGATAGTAATTCGTACTAAGTCTTGTATTTAGTCAATAGGTTAAATAGATAGCAAGATATTTATAGTACTATTCTAATCATATAACAATCTAAGCCTTATTAGTAGTCATTCATTAACTTGTTAGTTACATTTTAAGAATAAAAAACACGTTCTATAGTATTTAACTGTAAGCTTACTGATGACTTCATCTTACTACTTGGGTATATTTCCACTCTATCAGAAGCAATCATAGTATTTAAGTACTAAGATCTACTGGGAATTATTGCCAACGATTAATAAAAACATTTTTACTGTACTTTATAAGGGTTGACATAATTTGACTTAAAGTTTTCTGCTATTTTCTATCTATTAAAATTTCATGAGGCATTTTGGTAATCTCTTGAGATTATTTAAAGCCGTCAAGTTGATTATAGGTTAAGGTCTGGCATATATGTTGGTTATGTCCCCTTTGTTCATATACCTGGACAGTGTGGTGGCCCATGGACTGAAGTGAGTTGGTGCTCTTCCTCGGTTCATCTGAGCCACTGTCTCTGATAGGGGGTGTTGACCCGTCGGCTAGCCAGCTTGCTAATTTTCGGCTGGCTGAGGGGTTGCATCAGCTGGCTACAGCCACAGGCCCTTGAAGTTCTATAGTGTCAACCTACATAAAAAAGAAGGCTTCCAATGGCATAACAGGCACAAATGTAAACAAAGCTGTTTGTTTTGGGGTGTTTTTGAAAGAAGGACTGCTTACTTATGACTCCGGTGTACTTTTTATTGGAAATCCACTTTTGTATTGTTTCGGAAAATAGTAAACTACAGCAAATTGCGAATTTGGTTTCAAAGTAATTTATTAACTAAAAAGACCAATGCTGAATTTAAATATTTAAATCCAAATAGGTAAAATAAAACTGCAAAACAAGTGGACAGTTTTTCTTCAATGAGATTCAAAATTCTACACTTACAGACATCGATATTAATTTCCAAATTTCTGAACAACATGTGTTGTGGGAACTTGCTTTTATTATACATGTCATGCAAACCAAAATGCATTGAATTGGGTGCACAGTATGAACAGTAATATATTAGGTTCTACAATTGTAAAATAGTCTTTAGCTGAGTATATCTGGATCTTAAAATAAAGAAGACCATGTTCATATTCAGAGCATCAAGTGAACTTCCTTTGGTATTCATAATGTAACCTGTATTGGAAAGACATTTTCCACCGGGACACTTGATGAAGGAATTCAGTGGGTGAGAATTTTGGAATGGTTATTGTCAGATCCACTATAGAGGGGGCGTTTCATTGTAAAATGACACCTGGCGAGCGCCGGTGGAAGTAAGACGAGTGCGGCTGGCTGGCTTAAAAAGCAGACCGGCGGCGGCACTTGTGGCGCAAAACCCGACAGCTTAGCTGCAGATTTTCGGCGGCTTACAGGTCTAAAGGGGAGAGGGGTGCAGATTTTAATGAAGTGACACCTGGCGAGCACCGGTGGAAGTAACACGGTGACGGCTGGCTGGCTTAAAAACCGGCTACTCTATCTAAATCTAAACTTGTACGCCCGCTCATCCACAATTTTCTTGTGAACGCGACAGATTATACTGTGGGATTCGTTGTGATTTAAGTCGTTCATGTGATTCGTTGTGATTTTTAAGTCGTTCCTGTGATTTTTCAGTTGATGGTGCGCTTTGGTCGACTTAATCCAGTACTTATCAGATTCTCTACGATGTCTCAAGTTTCTAGTATTAAGTATGACCTTTAATTCTATCGACTTGGACCCCTTAATCTGGAATTCTCTTTGGGAATTGAAGTGCCATCGAATCTGACAAATTCATCTTTTAATTAAAGTTTATATATATATATATATATACAGTCAAGTAACCTAATTTCGTGGAAACCTATTATTCGTGGATTTCCGGAAAAGATTAATAATTTACATGAGCGACCTTGCGCGACTTCCGCATTAATTTGTTTTGATAAACATGGGTTTTCTGTACAATATCAGCTAGTAGAATGTTTTTATCGACTTATTTATGTATCAAACATTGTACACGAAAATAGGTGACGCATTCTGCCGCCGTTGCCGAGTTGGTTGCTCATGAAATATGGGTCAAAGTGAAGGATTCATCAAGAAAATCGAAATAAACCAATTTTAATTATTTTGTAGAATATCTGAGGAAACATCTAAGACATAAAAAACTTTTTTCGTTTTTTTAACTTTGACGAAATTCGGTGTCGAATCCTCATATCCACGAAAATAGGTTACACCACTGTATATGTTATATTGGAGATAAAATTGTGTTTATATTAACCCTTGAGAATAAAGTATGTTAAACTTGTAAACAACAAGGTAAACTAATATTTCTCTGTCATGATATTTTAACATTTGGAACCAATATAGTAACATATGATAGCCATGTGGAATAATGATTATTGAAATGGCTTTAATAAAGATCTATGTGTATTTATTAAGTAGAGTATATGAGGTAAAGTAATGATATGTGAGATTATAAAATAACTATATGATAGTCAGATGTTCATATTTCAGATATATATCATCATATTCAGATGTGAGATACATGATATTATATCTTAACTACTTACATCGATTATTTTTGTGGCAGGGCCAATTTTATTAGTAACGGTATACAATTGCTCTGTTGTATTTAAAAACTATGATATACTTCAAGACTGTTGATATTTCAACATTAACGGCAACATTCATGACACACGATGCATGCATCTATGGAATAGATAGTATACCATTGACCATTTAAGGGATTGTAAAGAGGTTTTATTGTCTGTATGTGTATTGGGATACTTCTAACATCAATTGTCACAAATTCCACAAATACTAAGTGTTTGATCACTAATTGCAAAATATGATTTATTACATAAAACCCTTTTCGATTAGTGATGTCATCAAATTGCAGAAACCACAGACATCTCATTGAAAATTGGAATGGTGCAAATTTATGCTATCAGTGTCCCACATACACAAAAAAATAGAAAATATATTGTAACATTTTTATTTAAAAATAAAAACAATTTAAAATCAAACATTGGCATGAATAATTCTTTTCATAATGGTAAATAGCAGCGATAAAATAAAATGACAATACATTCTATAAATACCTTTATATTATAGATATAAGATCTGTTTTCTGTTGAATTAGAAATCTGACAACTCCAAAATACAAACTAATAAAACACCTCCAGAATTCAATACCCTGAACACTTAAATAAGCATTATATACTTTGTTTCCTTCCATTAAAAAAGAGTTCAAGCCTTAAAAAGTAAAATACCCTTCTCAAAAACAAAGAAATTTCAAGACTTATAAACTACATGATTACTCATTGACCACAATGAGCTTGGAATTTCACAAATAATTATAATAAAATTTTCAGGTTAATGCTTTTAGTCTCAGAGTGTCGTGTGATCCATAGAAATTGTATGGTTCTATATTTTACATTTGAAATTAAACCACAGGCATTAAATGACAAGTATTTTTGACAGAAAATTCATATGAAAATAATTTGCAAATTGCAATTCTGTTCATATTGTGGTTGGACAGGAAATATTTTATTGGAGTACTAATTTTTTGGACAGAAGTTTGCAATATTTGAAAATTAGATTTTGTGTGATTGTGTAATTAACGACTGTAAGGTTTTGCATGCAAGTCTGTTTGCTGGCATTGTTTAAATTAAAGCTATATACATGTTTGAATTACAAACTTCGTTGGATATAAGACAATTTCTTACACCTAATCTTTAAACCCTAATTAACCCTACACAACTAACAGAGATCCTTATATACCATACACACATATACTTTTAGATAATGATAATACCAAAATATCTGTTATTTTAGGAAAATTAAAATACTGATTAAAACAAGATATGTTTAAATTCTAACAAAAACATTTTAAAACTTTGGAAATCTAATTCAAACTCTCTAGTTTCAGTTCTTCACACTGTACTCAAAGTAAAAATTTGGGGATGTTAGAATTGAAATGACTATATGAAAAGATAATGACTTGTGAAAATTAGCTTGAATTCATGACTAATTTAATTTGGGAGATATACTCTCCAAAAAGTAATTGCTTGGTTACCTCCCTTTAATCATTCTGTTACCTTAAGTGATGGCTCAGTTGGTGACTTCTGAATGTTCTGGATTCATGGATTTCGGGTTCAGGGCGAGCTTCATGTATGTCAGAAAAATAGTAGGTGTAGACAGAAGTAAAAATAGGTGGGAAGACTTTGAATTTGACATGTTCAATTGAGACCAGAATTGTAACAGAGGGAACTTGTTCAGAACCCTCAAATTGAGCACCACCTTGTAGTTCTGATTCATGCATTAAAATGGAATGATACTATTCTAAAAATTAAAACTTGAATGGTTAAAATGAATACAATGGAATAAATTTTGATTTTGAACTCTCTATAAATTTTAAAAACCCAAGGGAACATTTTCACAATATATAATAGTGTTGAGAAGGCAATTAAAATCACATAGACTATTTCACACCACTCCTAGTGCTATAAGTTATTATTTACAATATTATTTTTGATTTGAACACATAGTTGAACTGAAGAAAAATACAGAGCTGCATAGAAAAAGAAATCACAGATAAGTCTGGGTACAACAGGCCATAAAATAACAAATATTCCCATAGATATGACCATTTTAACATGACTTCTACAACTTTCATAAATTGATCTACAATATAAAATAGTAATATGGCACAAAAACATATTGGCTTGAAGAAAATATTTTTCCTTGTGTTTAGACAAAATTCTTGATGACTGCACAATGGCATACAAAAGTAATTTTTGTACGCCCACTTTTTGTTCATCAAGTAAAAGGAAATTTGATAAAATTTCTTGTCTTTCTTTATAATTGCATATATACAGTGAATCTTGCTCATATGACCATCTATATTCAATATGCGAAAACAATGCAACCACCTCATTTCTTTTCAAAACAAACCTACATTACTGTTTTTACTAGAGTGGATGCTCTGCTACTTATAGGACTGAAGCAAAAATAAAGCGCTAAATTGACCTGATGATGATTTTTGCATTATGTAGTAATGGTATAAACTTTAGAACCCACCTTATTCTATTTTCATTGTTGAATAATAAAGATCTGAAAAGTGAGACTTCAATAAAGGAGAGTAAAAAACAGGAGAACATAACAAACAAGGAGGTCCATCTATGAACATCACTATATAACCAGGAGAATTTACCAACTAACCAATAAGGTAATAGTATTGTATACATTATAAATGTTATTAACTGCCAAGTAGCTGGTTCTTGAGGCTGTAAAATACATTTTGAAATTCATAAAAGTTTCATTAAATCCTTTGAACACTAATTTTCTTAAATGCTAAACATCATATACCCTGAACTATAAATTATATCACTTTGTGTACAACAATGACCTTTGTAATATCACGTAGTGAAAGACCCTTCTCAGGTCCATCAGATAATTTTGCGGTTGGCATAGCAGCTGTAAGTGTTAAAGGATTTAAATAACTATTTAGATACATTTATACCTAGTGATCTTTTCTCTCATGTGAATTGGTCCTTTGAAACAAAATTGCTGAAATCTTTTTAGACAAAATATAAACAGTTCACATTAATATTTTGTTTGCCATACTGCAAAAAGTCACTTAGTCTTTCAATGTTTTACTGTTTGGGGACAAACACTGTATTTTTGTAAATTTGCCCAAGAAAGAAGGCACCTTATGAGTTATTATATCCCACTTTATTTTGATGATACTAACCTCAGCAATAACATAATGACTTTCATTAGATGGTGTAGTATAATGTACAAATGGTAGAAATACTTCTTCATAATTAAAAAGATATAAATATAATATGGTTGTACGTGGAAAGTCTTTTAAACCATATAATAGAAATAAACTTCTTCCTGGGTACAGTGCCTACAAATAACATATTTCAATTCTTTAATAAACCATTTTACCAATTCCTTATAAGATCTGGAATTTAGGTATAAGATTCAACTTTCTTATCTTCACAGATTTACATTTCAGGGATAATTCCATCTAAATGTCTACTTCACCATTTCGGCTTTTAAGAAATGAAATCTAACAGAACTGTATAATTAAAAGCTGATTGAAATATCATAAACAGAATCTCGCCATAAAATATTAAACTGAATACCTTATATTCCCAGAGATTTGTAGGAAATTTCACCCCAGTTTCTGTCATACCCTGTATAGCATATAGTAAAGCTTTAAGATGTACATTATTGTCTATATGTAACTTTTTCTTTAAAGATTCTTCATCAAAGCCCATTAACATTGTGCCATCTACAAATTACCAAAAACAAGAAAGGAGTAAATGAAGTTCTGTAACGTAGATATTAACCATAAAAAAAGTACGATTTATGACAATGTCATGATGACATACATAAATCAATAAATTTCCTCCTCCAAAACTTGATCTTCACGAATTTCTTAATGAGTCCTTAATGGTTTAGAATCATTGGTATAAGTACCTATTTTTTCTTGTAAAACATACTGAGAATAAAGTTCAGCCCATGTTAATTCTGTTAACCATGTACTAACATCCTGGGGTTTCCAAGACCACAATGGTTTCTTGATAAGTAAATCTTGATCACTTTTACGCCAGTACCATGCTAAATATATTACCTGTTAATATTCATACATTTTAGTCTTAAAATCATCAAATAGTATAAATAAAAGATAACTAATAAACAAAAATAAAAAAATACTATACTAAGATGATTGAGATATTGTAATAATAAAATGATAAGTTACTCTAAGGATACCTATTTAAATCAACCTATCAAAAATAAAGAAAATTAGGTTCTTGAGGCATGTTATTCTTTTTTTAAGTAAAATTTGTAATAATTTTTCAATCTCTTTAAAACCGAGTAATCCCAGATTTTCAAGTAATTTCTCCTTTGCTACAGTTTTTAAGTGATAGTAAATTTACTCACTAATATAGCAATTAAAGTAAGAAGTATTCCAGAACAAAATGCTCTGGGATCAGATTCGGTTTCTTTTGATTGTAATTTCTTGTCAAAATCATCCAACTTTGATTTCGTTTCTTCATCATTTTCTAAATCTATATCTAACTGTTTGACCTCCTCTTTAAATAATCTATACATCATATTCCTATAAATAACAATAATATTAAAATTAAATTAGCTAAAGTGGGGTGAGTAAATGGACATTTTGATATATTATTGTATTCACTAGCAGGACTACTACAGATTTTAAATGGTTGTACATCAACATGCTAAAAATGACTTTTACCTACTGGTGTAATATTTTATTAATATTCATGCTGCATATCAATAGATCTGGAATAGGGTCACTAACAAGTTAGTCCTGCAGAAGGCTGCATCGGTACAGTATTTAGGTAATGTCAATGTCATGAATGTTTGTGTAAATATTTTTCAATTCAATATCATATGATATAACAGAATTAGAAATTAAAGTGCACTGTAAGCTGTGAGCCTACAAGAGCACTGTAAGCTGTGAGCCTACAAGAGCACTGTAAGCTGTGAGCCTACAAGAGCACTGTAAGCTGTGAGCCTACAAGAGCACTGTAAGCTGTGAGCCTACAAGAGCACTGTAAGCTGTGAGCCTGCAAGAGCACTGTAAGCTGTGAGCCTACAAGAGCACTATAAGCTGTGAACCTACAAGAGCACTGTAAGCTGTGAGCCTACAAGAGCAGACAATATGTCAGTATACATAGGGCACAATATATGAATAAACTACACCAAATAGGTCTAAAAATGTACCTTAATGTTATGTTTACTTTAGGATGACCTTGCCATTTTTGTCGACATGTTGGACATTCTCTTTTTCTTGATGTTAGAAACCATCTAGCTAAACATCCTCGACAGAAATTATGTCCACACATTAAAGATGTTGGTTGAGTCATTAGATTAAAACAACAGCTACATAAGAAATCCTCTCTATTTTCATCAACATCATGGTCAGATGAAAATTTGTCTTCTGCTTCTCTTTTCATCTCCATCTTAACAAAAGCTTATCTATGTAGCAATAAACATACAGTACTTTCTGAAAGAGAAATGGCATTATTTTCACTAAATGTGTCTGATTTCTGTGTCTTATAAGCTTATCTGAAAAGAAATAAAGCCCAATCTAAGGCAGTAAATATAAATATGTCCCATTCAATCGCTAGGGAAGCAGCTCATGCTCATTTGGGGAGTGTTGTCTTACATCAAAAGATGATGGATGTTACCCAAATTTACTCATGGGAAAGTTTCATCTGACTGACAACATCCGATTCTTGAAAATAAAAATTCATTCCCAAATTTTGTAAAATTCTATTCTCTTGATCTTATTTCTGTTTCATGATTTTTATCCTATTTTTCTAAGACAATTTTATAGGTACAGTCGAGTAACTTAATTTCGTGGAAACCTATTTTTCATGGATTTCCAAAATGTTTAATAATTTACATGAGCGACCTTGCGCGACCTCCGCATTAGTTTGTTTTGATAAACATGGGTTTTTTCTACAATATCAGCTAGTTGAATGAATCAACTAGCGGATTCTGTGTCAGCAGAAAATTTCTATGGAACACAAAGTGGACCATATTCTTGTGTTGTTTCAGTGACTTTTAGCAATAAATCACACTACGTATCTTATTTTGTCAGTCACTATTTTTTTTTTAAAATCGTGGTTCTTTGAAGGAATTGTCACTTGTTATAATGAATTGATATTAAAGATAAATACTAACTTATTTATAGATCAAACATTGTACACGAATATAGGTGAGGCATTCTGCTGCCGTTGCCGAGTTGGTTGCTCATGAAATATGGGTCAAAGTGAAGGATTCATAAAGAAAATCAAAATAAACCAATTTTAATTATTTTGTAGAATATCTGAGGAAACATCTAAGATAAATTTTTGTTGTCGTTTTTTTAACTTTGACGAAATTCGGTGTTGAATCCTTATATCCACGAAAACAGGTTACACCATTGTACAGGTAGGCCATTTTTTTGAGCAATCATACTATAGGCCTACTATAGTCTCAGGAACTGGAATTTATTAGCTGAGCTAATCAGAAATAGTTTTTTAGTCCCTTTAAAACACATACAAGAAATTCTATTTTGAATTGTTTCAAGAAAAAGCAACCCGGCAAATCACTGACGTTTGGCTACTATCTTGTGTCACTGTCGTATCACTGTCAGTGTCAACTAATAAACATCATTGCAACAACTTGCACAACAAATCTGTCAAACCTTACTGTGCCTACAACTGGCACAAGGTACAGGAGCCTTTTTGCACTATAGCTACTTACAGATTAGAATGTGATAAGTAGGCTATCAATAAAATCTAGGTCCTTGTTCTTGTGCTTAGATCGTGGAATCTATGACTCTCTGGGAAAATGACAGAAGGAATTTTGCCATTTTTTTTAGCGAAAGTGAAAGGTGAGTCAATGAAAAATTATACATTATAATTCTGAAACACACTAAACGTCAATACTTTTATGAGATGTTATAAAAAAGATATAAACAATATAATGGTTGCATTCAATGTACGGACAAATCTTCTGCATGAGGTGTGATGGACTGGATAGTAACAATATCGCAATTTTGTAAATATATACTTACATTAGTCTACTAGGCCTAGTTAGAGCAGTGCATTAAATAGTGACAACCATCGTGGCAATATTTGGGACCGCTTACACCAATTGATTTAATCAAATGCGATTCAAAAGATATTTTTACAGGGTTATCTTTTATCTAACCAAAAGATTGCCTCATAGGTAGGTGATATCCGCTCATTCTACTTTTTCCATAACATAAACTTCCTTTTTGTTGAAATTAACTGAAGCGGATTTGTTGACTTCCTGTTATCATTGATATAAGCGTTAGAAAATAAACAAAATGGAGGTTACGAGAAAGAGTAAGTTCTTTAGCGGGAATGATAAATTCAAAATAGCTTAGATATATCTAAAAAAGAAATACAAGCACTTTAAAAACTTTATGAACATCACACATTCAATGACCTTTTCTTTCAAATTTAATAATGGTGCGGAATATTTGAAATTTAGAAGAAAATTCGATTTAAAATGAAACCAAAACTAAAACTTTTTATAATGAAAGTAAAACTAGAAAATCTTCAACGAGTGAGTGACAAGTACGTTTGCGTGTCATATAAATTTTTAGTATTTTAGAAAGAATTCAACACAAATTCAATAATTCATTTATAACCCTATTTCACATTAAATGCACAAATTTTGTGCATCTAAAGCATTCAGAAAGCTTAACTGATAGATTTAACTAGTGATGTTCGGATTGTCAGCAACATTGGATTATTGGTCGTTGAACGATGTTACTATTCAATTTCCTTTTGAAAGTTGACAACATCAGCAAAAGGTTTAAAAGCCCAGTTAGATTTAGAATTAGACCCAAACAAAAGTTGGGTCTAATTTGAATTAAACTGCTGAATAAGGTACTAAACGGAAGTGGATAGTACACGACTTTTCTGGGAGGTGGTGAAGAACAGCAAATTTGCAAAAACTCATGCTTCATCATGAAACGATTTCCTTCTTTTTGATGCATTAGGTTGGATGAAAATAATCGTGATGTTTCGACACAATTATTTCGTAGTCCCCATTCAATAACAAATGATTCAAAATCCTTGTGGATTAGATATTGTGTTATGTTTTCATTTTCCAAGTATGATTTTCACATCAAAATTTGCAAAAATTCATTTCTGACTTTAAAAATTGAGTTTTTTTTTTCACAATTCCTTACTTCTAAATGTATTCAAGTGCAACTTCAAGAATCGTTGCAGCCCTGTTCATCATTTAACAATCAAAATACGACACTTTTATTTTCATAGGAAATACTGCAAACCCAAGCTTTAAATATTATCGTTTAGTTTGGAGAATCTGCTTGTGAAACCTTGAGAATTTAGACTCAATGTCATGGGAATATATATGACAAATGCAAGTATTTCATCACTTCAAAAACAACATTGAAGATATCGGGTAGAAATAATATACAAAGTCTCGTAATTTGTCGACAAGTTGGTCAAATCTGTCGACGACTTGGTCATGTTTGTCGACGAGTTGACTGTCGACTAGTTGGCGTGTCGACGACTTGACCGGACACCAGTGTACATGCCATTTAAGCCTAAGTGAGGTAAAGTCACTGTTGTTGGAAACGTGATATTACTTCTGAATATTATGTCTGTGTTTTACTGTATAACTTTTCTTAAGAATACTTAATATATAGACTTCTACATCGTTAAAAAAGTGTTAATGCTCAACAAAATTTTAAACTGCTATGCAATTTCGGTTCATAGAGCAAACTTGTATGCAAATTAAAAAAGAGTAAGCTTAATTTGTTTTTTTAGAGTGTTGACTTACAGTGTAATTACCTGCATCAAACCTATCATAATTAACAAAACAACTGTGAAATTAATTTATAAAACCTTTAACATATTTTTTTTAAGCTACATTAAATGTTGTGTGTTTGATTATTATGCCTCTCAATTATTTTTTTTCTTCCCATTGCTCATTACTAGATTTAACTGTTCTTCAGCCTGGTTCACACAATTTTTTTTGCAGTTAATCCAGCTTAAGCATTACTTCAAAGTTAC